GACGATACCTATACATTCTTAAATACTTCTAAACTTATGTATTTAAGTCGTTTATATGACTTACTTTCATCGATTTCCTCCAAAGTGCATACAATGTGTCTCATTATTGAGCCTGTTCGTTTTGAGTCGACAATTTGCAACTTTTCTTCTTGAAACTCATCGGGATGCTTTGAAGGAGCACGATTCCTGGCGTACACAGGCTTCTGCTGCTGCCAGAACTCCGCACGCATATCAAGAAAGTTCAAACCCGAAATAGCGAGATGACGAACATATTCTGAATTGTGTGAGTGCCACGAACTGATATCTGTTATTTAATTTAAAGTAATATATTATTATAAATTTATAAAAGTAGTATAAAAAAAATAAAGTTAACTTATTAAACAAACTAAAATAAAAAAAAACGTCAGAATAAGCAACGGTTGATTACGTGCAAGATATAATATTCTAACACATTCTTTGAGTGGAACTGGATGTGTTGCGCGCAGCCTTTTTCGGTATTTTATACGAATTCCTATAAAAATATTAATAAATAGAATGCTAGTAGTTAAAGAATTGAATAAATATTTAAATAAAGGCGTTCTAGAATAATTAAGGTGACCTTAAAAGCTTGGAATTTAAAAATCAAAGGGTCTATATTTTAAGGCTTACTTTCTTTTAGTAGAATACTATCGTTCTACAAGGATTTTGCCTTTAAAGTAGTATTTATTTTTTTTCAAAAATCGTTAAATTGGAGTATATCCTTGTATCAATTCGATTATTGTGATGACTCCGGCATCTTTTATCATGATCGCCAATCTCCACAAGATCGAACTTAATTACGTCTTTGTAGACACGACCAAGCCTAAGCTTAAGATAAAAAGTTTAGCAACCCTAGGTCACATAAAGTTATTTAAAAACCAAAGGTCAATTTTTTCCACAATCAATTGAATGCCCCTCATTAAGGTGTAGAATTTAACAGTCTTTCCTCCCATAAGGTTCTTTAATTCAGGATAAACGGCAACTTTGATCTCGCCTAAGCCTCATCCGTTAAGCTAACATTTGTTTGCTATTGCAAACGAAGAGGCTACTTAGTTTCGAAACTATCAGTAATTTTAAAAAATAACTTAGCCACTTTGCCTACTTAGGTAGGAAGAATTTCAGCCAACTACTTTTGTGTCATCGTGCTTGGTGAATGATTGTAAAGCATAATGCTTTGCTTTGATGATCTCTATTATATGAGAGACAAATGCTTATAACAGCTTTATTCAGGTTTCAGGATTGTGGTGAGTCAAGGACTTATTCGCACATATCTACAGCCACAGCTGAGGCAATCTTCCAGTTTCTGGTGAGGCCGAATCACGAATCAATTCCATTCGCTTCTTCAGACGAAATAAAAGATAATCCAACATCATTCAATTAAGGTTCCCAAACATTTCCTAGTCGCGGCGCCCTTTTTCAATTAAAATTTTTCCATGGCGCCCTACCCTATGTATGAATATTCGTAAGTAAAAGATAAAAATAAATAAAACTTATGTATCTTCATTATTTTTTTACTTTATTGACATTAAATTAATAGTAGACGGGTTTGATCATAGACGTGACCAGGATATTTATTAGGTGCATATACCGAACAGTAATAAAGGAATCTGCTGCGTCGAACTAGTTATGAATCCAGTCTTTAAGGGCTTGCTCATTAAAGCTAGAGGATATGTGCTGTCAAGAGCTTAAAGAAAAGCATAAACATAGCGCCACGAGTAAGACGGATATAGTGGTAGTGATCGGGTGAAAT